ACAGAAAGCCAGAGTTTATCTATTAATACTACGTTTAAAAACGTAATATTAATGCGTTAGTACGAGATATCTGTCTTTTCCTGGAAAGTCGCCTACTCTAATTACACTGGCGTTTCCATACGATCGTCACTTCCTTGACTTTCTAATTCTACAGCGTCAAACCTATCAATTTTCACGAGTTTTATTACATGATTTTGATTTCTCCAGTCGAGCCAACATTTGTGATGAAAGCGTATGGTTACAATCAGCCAAAACCCATACATACACCACAAAAATACACTAAGAATAATCAACCCCGCTCCAGTCCACGTATCTGTCAAGATCATGTAGTGCCAAGCTCCTTTTCCACAGAGATACGAGCTCGCGAACACCAATGGACTGAGGATCAGGAAGCATAGCAGGTCACCAAAGAGATAGCGGCGTTCAAGATGGTTCTGGCCTTTAGTAAACCACTATGGAATAAGAGAGAGCTTCAATGCATGGAAACAATTGCGGATCCAGATGTAATCAAATGGTTAGGGCAAAGTGGAGACATGAGTTACCCGGGTCAAGAACTCTGTTGCTTTTTTGTTGTGGCTTGCCGAAAAATCAAGCTTTAACTGACTCCAGTAAACAGACTAATTGAAGAGCTTAAACGGCTTGCAAATGTTTGTCAATAAGTATACTGTTTTAACTCGTGTTGAACTTACCTCTTTAAAAGACCTTGGAAGTCTCATGGTTTGATATACATGACCACAAATTTCACAAGAGTCCTTATTAGCTCTAGAGAGCCACTTCTCCAAACACTGCACATGACACTTGCCTAGTGTCCCTGAACAGTGACACGGGCTGATCAATGATTCACGCACTGTTTCATCCCTACAGATTCGACACGTGTTCAACAAATCGTCTGACGAGTAAGACGAGATTTCAAGATGAAAACTCTGTTGAAAAAAAAGCACGACACACAATTAGAAATAACATTAATTTGACTTTGATCGCTTGTGGGAAGATTGCTCGACGTTTAACCATAACGAAGAAGCTAGGTATTAAACTGGTGAAAAAAAATTCTACCATGAATGTCCGAAGTGAAAGCATTTTAGTCGTTTAAATCAGCATTTTTTTTATCCACATGGTGATATTTCTGACAACGAGTGACTCACTCCTGTTTGGTCAGTATCAGTAGGCGATGTTCTCTGATCTTCCACAGAAATTATCTGCTGTTTGTCCGTAACTGAATCGCTTTCCATCATGATCACAGACATCTATTAGTGTTACTTTCCTATCAGTTATTTTACATATTTTGTGTCTCGACTTCTACGTCTGCGGTACTGAAATCAGTTTCTTTGTTTCACGTCGGCGGCGCTTATTATGATTGTGACGTCATCCTTTATCTTCTTCGACTTGTTCGACCGTTCGTCTCAGTGCTGCTCAGCATTAATTTAAACAAAAACCGAGAAAAAATTGGCGTTGATTGGGTCTTGATTTATAAGGTCCACAGTTTAAATAAATTTGCATTAGCAGTGAAATGGGCTTCCGAGTTTTGATTTTTAATTGTTGATAGATTAGCTTAAAGTTAATTCAAAATGTCTCCGCGAGCTTTTGGATCAATTTGGGTCAATTTGGAACGTTAAAAAAGACTTTATTATGACGTCATTAAACCTAACAGGACTTCAGTTTCTTTTGTATCGACGTATTAAGAAACAGGTCCGTACAGTGTACATGCGTTACCTGTCATTGTGATATGATTGAATAAAAAGCAAAATAATGTGGAATGCGCCCACAATTACAAAGTGGGGACAGGCTAAGGCATGCTTAGCAAGGTAATCATGAAGGAATGAGTGTTCAGTCAACTATTTATTTTCTTTTTGCACTTTTTACGGGAGAGTTGATGTCGTCTGACATCGGCATCAAACTTCGCTTCAGTGAAAAAGTGTCAACCCTGTCACCTATTAAAGGTAAGTACGAGCCAAAATTCTTTGCGACTTGTTGCACAACAATGTTACATTGCAGTTTAAAAGAGATGTTGCGCGGATTAGCACCGGTTTAGAAAGTTGCGACACTAAGAAACACGTGTTTAAGCTTGTAAAACGGGTATCCGTAATTTACAACACGAGTAAAGATACGTACGATAGAACGGTTTTCATTTGAGCCTCGGAAAGTAATTTGTTTTGCATTATTACACTACACGATTGGCTTAAAATACTTTCGCCACTTTTTCATCCAATCAGAAGTAACAAAACCAATCGTTACACGTTCGCACACCTTTGCCCTTGTAACTGTAATTGTAATGCTGCAATGCTCCGCGCACACAGGGTCGTGCAACAAATTGGACAAAAAGCTAGCTCATATTTGTAGTGTCGAACAGCAAAAGTAAGCCACAAAAGGCAGCCACGAAGGCGAAAGATAACAGTACACACGGTACACGTTTCAACTCTCTTCCCGCGCTCGCACTCTCCCGGATGTATACTTTGACATGTACAACCGCTGTCCTAATATACTACATTATTATTATTATTATTTTAACGGATGGGAGTAAATATTGTTTTAAAATTACCCAAATCAGCTGAGCAAGAATTGATGACGTGGCTGAGCGCTTGAATAATCTTTCTCGCACACACCTCTCAATA